TCACTGCCACAGGAGGTGGCGGTGGCTACAAGCATGGACGGTTTCAAGGGGGAGTTAGATAAGCATATGGAGCAGAGGTCCATCAGTGGCTATTAGCCACAAGGTATAGATAGGGACTCTGGGGCAAGTGATGCTCTGTCATCTTGGTGCTTGGGGGGGTCAACAGTGGGAGGGCTTCTAATGTCCTGGCCCCACTGGTGGACCTCCTGATGGCACCTGGTATTTCTGGCCACTGTGTGATACAGAGTGTTGGACTGGATGGGCCTTTGGCCTGATCCAGTATTGGTGTCTCTTATGTTCTTATGAGAGAGGGTGAGACTGCCAAGGTATGTGGAGGGGGACCTGTTGGCCGCAGAGAAAAGAAAGTAAAATCACTACCCCCGCTGTGACCAAGCTCGCTCTTTTCCTGGGCGGCGGCGGCGGTTTTACTCTCTTTGTTGCCAGCTTGTTCTCCTCCTAGCAGCCACCTGCATGCTGGGATGCTGATACAGAGGCTGCAGAGAAGGGCAGGTGGGGCGTCAGTGGGGAGAGCATGCCCTTTACGTCCATCTGTGGCTCACGGCCTGCAGTTTATTTATTTTTATTTATTTATAATTTGATTTATATCCCGCCCTCCCCTAAGGCTCAGGGCGGCTAACAATTGGGGCAAAAGCCATAATTAAAACAATATAAAAACATACCAATAGTACAACGAAGTGCGTTCCAAGAAGGGTTCCGGTAGGGAGGTCTGCAGCTTGCTTGTCCTCCGGTTCCTCCGGCAAAGGCTGTTTCAGGGTATGAACCACTTACCACTGTGTTGTACTTGGTCATACAAGTCAGTATGATACTTGCCCACCAGTGTTCCCTCTAAGCTGAGTTAGTGTGAGCTAGCTCACAGTTTTTTAGCCTCCGGCTCACACAGTTTTGTCTTAGTTCAGAAAGGATGGCTCCAGAGCAAACTTAATTTATGCAGCAGCCAAACCGCTCGCTCACAACTTGAATGCCAGTCGCTCACAAGGTAGAATTTTTGCTCACAAGACTCCACAGCTTAGAGGGACCATTGGACCTGACTATCACAAACCCTGCTGGGCAAGGGCCTTACCCACTCTGAACTTGGGGCGGTTGCCACACTGAGAAATGGTGCCAAGAGAGCCACAGGTGGCTCCTGAGCCACTGAATGAGTATTTCCGTGTTAGGTCTTCAGAAGTGGCACCTATCTCAATGCATGGAAGTGTGTGCGGCATCTTGTATTCATGGCAGGACGATTTGTTGTTTTCTCTCTAGCCCCAAGGAACGCTTCACTGAACGACCGCACGATTATGGAAACAGACCTGTCTTTCCCATGGATTATCAACATACTTGACTTAAAAGCCTTCGACTTGTACAAGGTTATCGAAAGCTTTATTAAGGCAGAACCAAACCTCACAAGAGAAATGATAAAACACCTGGAATGCTGTGAACACCGTATCATGGAATCCCTCGCTTGGCAGTCGGTGAGTGTGTGTTTTAAATCTATCAGAATGCCTTGCTTTGTTAGTGTGTCTTCATATAGGTACAGGTTGGGGAAATTGCCTGAATTATACTGTCTTGCAAATAGTGTTTTCAGTAGCATAATAAATAGAAGGTATTTGTCCCTGTTCAATAGGTGGGAAAAGAGAGGATGCCTCTGTGGCCTGTGCATGTGGCGGAATCCACTTGCTTGGAGTGGTGGTGGGATCCCCCATCTGCGGCCCCTTTCCCGTGTCGGGGGTGGTGGGGTGGAGGGTCCGACAAACCGTCTTTTGTTCCCACTGAATGCTCCCAGATCCTTGGATCTCAGAAAACATGTTCCAGTAACGTTAATATGGAGTGGCACTGAACTAAAAATTTGCTGTTCGTGTGAATGTTGCTGAAGCTTGTGGGTTTCTCTTGCAGTCTCTCCGCTCTGTTTGGTTGTAAAGTTGTTTTGGTTGCAGCAACGAAAGAAGTGAGGAATGGCACCCTGTTGCAGATTTTTTTATGCCTCTTGTGGTTGTTACCTGGTTACTCAAATCGCAGGCTTGTGCTTCCGCTCTCGGTTCTGTTCACTTTGCCACCACGTCGTCCCACGCGAAGCGTTTGCTGTCGGTCCGTAGACCGGCTGTCTGCTCTCGCCGTCTCCCTTGTGCGTGTTTCTGCTCTGCCGCAGCTCTCTCCTTGTGAGTTTTCCCATCGCCCTCTGTTGCCTTGTGACGCCAGTCTCGCAAGGCAGGTTTCCTCTCTTCCCCAACCCCAGATTGTAGTCTGCTCGGTTTTGTCCCGCAGAACTTGGTAAGAGCTGCCGACAGCTCGGGAGGCGGCTCTTTCACTTGCAGGCCGTTTCCGTAGTGTTGGGTCAGGCAGTGTGGCTGAACTGTGGCAGATGTTGCTGGTCAGCAGGAGGAGGAGTCAGGTGGCAAACCCTGTTCAGTGAAGAGAGCAGCTACATGGGTCAGTTCAAAGAACATAACATAAGAACATAAGAGACGCCAATGTTGGATCAGGCCAAAGGCCCATCCAGTCCAACACTCTGTATCACACAGTGGCCAGAAATACCAGGTGCCATCAGGAGGTCCACCAGTGGGGCCAGGACATTAGAAGCCCTCCCACTGTTGAC